TTTGCCACGACAAGCGGCAGGTATGCTTTCACATCTTTACAAAAACGTAGGCTGAACAGATGCAGAGACCAACGTAGATGCATCCTTGTACACGTTTAAAGGCATCTGAGGTAACGCCCCTGTACTTGCCTCACGATCCAAATTAATGCCAACGCACCTTAAAGGTCTTGTAGCCGTCAGGTTCTGGGTTTAAGTGAGTTTGAGTGCATCAGATGTTGGGAGTTTGGGCTAAAGTGGTAACTTATCCTCTTCATTTTTGATAAGTACTTCAAACCATTGGCCCGAAGGGCACATCTTAAGCTGCTCAACTACGTGCATTGCTAGCTAATCAAAAAAATTCAGTGCAGCTTGGCGCTGTGAGAGGATAACAACGCTGCGTGTCATCCTACATGAGTGTGATAATGATGGGAATTACATCACCTAAATGACAAAGCGTTACTACTTGTTACTGACTTTCGGTGTCGTAAGCGTCCTAATGATAAAGCATTTATTAATTCATATTCCACGATGTGAGGATTGACAGTTGTGTCGACTTGTAGTAGCCAGCTAACAGTCACAGAAACGCTTACTTTGGGCTGCTGACATCAGGATAAGTTTGGAATTGGTTAAAACTCCTTTTACTGTAATTTATGATGAGAGGAGTGAGAAGTGCTGGCAGCGTCACAGCGCAAATCATCCTCCATCCAGGCGAATGGGTTTGAATGCATCAGCTGTGGAGGAATGAAGCCTCACGCTCCGACAATACGTCGTCCGACCTAACTGCATTTCATCGTGCTCGCATCGAAAGCACTATTGAAACTCGATGGTAGTCATCAGTCCGCCTAAGTCTTGTAATGCAAAAATCTGTCACACATTCGCCCTATTTCTCCTAAATCCGCCTATTAGATGGAAATTCCGTATTCCATACAACGACACGATTCTAAGTACAGCGGATCCGTGACTGATGTTTGGGGTGAAAACTTACCTCTCGTGACGTAGTGCGGTTATATCACACAGTTAACAGGTCGGACTGGCGCAATGTGAAGTTGGACAACTTTTGTGTCGAACCAGAATCCACTCCAAGCCCTGAGTTAAAAAGGCACCGAATTATCACCACAACTCATCGCACCACTCCCATCACAGAAACGATAAGGGAATTAGGAGCTATGATTTTACCAACTTGGCCCGTTTTTTTCTCTGCAGAGGAAAAAAAAAGCTCCTTCAACTCCAAAATCACATTGCTGGTGACATTATCAAGTGTCTTTCCGTTTGGTTGATTTTTTTTTTCAACTTGATTTACACAGGAGTCGGTAGCAGTGGTAACCTACAGGCAGCCTCCCTTTACGTGGAACAACTTGGTAGTCGTAGCTATGACCAATTTCCATAAGGTAAAAGGAGTTTTTTCCTCTCTTTCACGCTTTCCTATGTCCCGCCTAAAATCTTCTCTAAGTAGAGATGATAAACGCAGTCCACTATTTAATTCACAGTAGCAAAGTTCGTGTAGCGAAATATTTTTTAATGCTAATAGCCAAGCAAAAAGGGGAGCAAATAAGACAGCCAGTGGTGTCTAGTAGTTTAAAACAAGTGGCAGAAATGAAAAAAAAAGTGCCAATCCATCCACTTGGTGCTGCTGACATTTCTCTTTACCGCCAATTCAAATGCACCAACATCGGTGTCGTTAGCATTAAAAAAATCAACTTTACTAATGACAGTAACATTGAGTGGATTGACTAAGAGATGCGTCAAGTCAGAGTGTATCGTGGGAAATGTTAAAGTTAGGTGAATTTTAGGAGTAATTTCAACTTCCCCGGTAAATGTTAACCGTGATTTGAGATTTTAGATTGCCGAAGTCAACAGTTATTGCTAGCATCGAGGAGTTGAGTGGTTGATTCTACAATTACTTTGGTTGTGGAGGTGGTTGTAGCGGTTGAGATGCGCTCACGCCATCGCGTAACTTCTGACGGGTAATTCAGACGTCTGCCTTGTCTCTACCTTTAGGTCGGAAGGCAAGAATGGGCCATGTTGGACAGAGAATGATGCCATTCACCATCCCTGGGTCTGGAAAGCATAAACACTTCAATCTTGATCCTTTCATCAACACTAGTCATTAGACATTGAGAGACTCCTCTTCCCTATGTGGTGCCATTAAAAGTGCCGCTTTGTTCATTTAGAGGGGACACATTTCGGTCCTGCTTTACTGTTCGGCTTATTGTTATGCATGTAACAAAACCACAAATGCTGAAATTGCCGAGTTGTTTAGCTGCAGGATTCTAGAGACTCCCTTACTTGTCAAGTGCTCCTTCAATTTCGTCAACAAACTCGCCCATGTTACGCACACAAAATCAACTTTTTAAACGTCCACAACACGGTGTGATGGTTTTCTTTATTAATCTGCTTTGAATCGGCACATGCTTCTGCCCTCACAGCAGCGTCTGCTAATATTGCACAGTTGCCTTCCTTAGGCGAAGCTCCGATTTCCTTTCTCAGGTAGGTAAAGTTCTGTCTACAACTTATGCATTTGTAAAAATGTCATCGCAATCATCGTCTGGGGTATTGTTACTTCCGTATGGGGTCGTTGGTGGTCTACCACCAACAACCCAAAGGCACCAACACCAAGTTGTTCAGGATCAGCTTTGAAAGACAAATGTATCACATGAGCTATTCAGTGGTTATGAGCAATGCAAAAGTTAGGGACGGAAGTAGTAAAAGTTAAGCGAAATTTTTGTATGATGGTAATGACTCAAGGGAATCCTGTCTTTAGTTTGGTGCGCAGTAGCGCTAGTGCCTATAAGGAACCAATGAAGGTAAAATCAGGTGATACCGCGCCACTATAAAATGAAGGCATTGAGCCCTGATGTTGGGCCTACGAGGTTGTGTCTACTGAGTGACGTCGAGTGACAAGAAATGGACCGCAGAATCGGCTACATTATCATCGCCTTGGTAGCAGCTCTCCTCTTCTTTGTGGCGATCGGCTATCACGGTTGGGCGTGTGGAGACAGCATTCTCAGCTCCAATTGCCTCAGATTCAAGATTAATGAGGTGACTGGCGCCCTCCTCCTCACCGCAGGTCTACTCATTCTCGTTGCCGGCATTTTCCTCATCGTTCTCGTGCTTACTGAAACCAGTTGGAGTGAGATTGCAGCTGCCGTCATTGCTATTGTGGCGGCAATCTTGGCAATTGCTGGTGTGTTCTACTATTTGGATCACATGGGGATGTGGTCACCCTTCATCGCCACCATTGCCATGTCGCTTTCAATCGCGCTAGCCGCCATTCTTTTGTTTGATCTCATCACCGGCGAGTAGATAAATTGTCTAACCTTTCCACCACCCTTACTAGTAAGGAATTTTCCCTAAATTAAATCATTTATTCTTTCCATTTTAAGTTATCTTATAGACACTGATTACGGGTGAAGGGCTGTCATGTTGACATGGTCATTTGGCGGCGGGTTCGCCTAGAATGTACTATTTGGATGCAGCTAGGTGTCCATGGAATGACCGTTAAAGTTAGTACTTGGATGATTAATACTGAATGGCAGGGCAACAAATGCCAGCTAAGTCAACACTGTGGCACTGTCAACCCTCTTCTTAAGCCTTTCATTACTTGTATTATTAGGATATGACCAATTTTTGCATTTTTTTGTTTTACACCAGCAAAATTGCTTCTCAATGCACCCCTAGAAACTCACTCTCTTCGAACACCGTCACTGACATGCAGAGTATAGCCAGAGGCGATGCTTTGGGCCTGTTTCGATCCCACCAACCAACAGTTGCATTTTGTTATTGTGCCACCTTCTCTGACGTTCTTATTAAGTCTACCGTTTCACACGGTAAAGGACTTTACCCCATTGTGTGGCACATCATGAGGCTGGGCTTTAATGTCCAAATAAGTCCTTCTTTTAGGTGCTCCTCTCTTACCTTACAAGGTGGAACATTATCCTCCTGCTGTGTAACCTTTAAGACACGAGGGCAGGGCAGAAGGCAGTGCCTCTCCATCCAACCCCAGTCATCCTCAGATTTTTTTGCATTTAAAAGACACCGGTTCTCAACTTTGGTCCCAGAGACGCATGAGAATGGGATGGTAGGGTTGGAATGAAGCTACCACTCAACGCATTGCAAGGGCTAAGGGATGATCTTGGTCAAGTGACTTCATCATATTTGGCTTACTCACAGTTAAGTAGACAGTGGTTGTGTTAGCATGAAATCACCTCCTATTAGAACACCAACAATGCAGTAAAATATAGGGCAAAACACCGGTGTACAGTCAAGAAATAAGAAATTTAGTTAGTACTTGACAGATGCTCAAAACTTCGTTCAGAACGGGGGGTGCTAATTTGGCGGCGTTGTCTCTGTAGAAGTGGAGGAAAGAAACCTCCCCATGTGGACCCCATAAACCATGGTGAAATGTTGAATAGATTTATAAGGATTGAAAAGGAAAAAAATAGTTGGACAATCTAAAGACTCAGGCACTCTGATGCAGTAAAGAGTTACTCCTGAGTGATGTCGTGAGAGGGTGTATTTGATTGCCCGCCATAAACACAAACATACATATTTCTAAGTTGCCAAATAAAAGCATTCCATTTTAATCAAAGCGACACCAAGAAGGCCGACTAAGGACTGTGAACAAAGCAGCACTTAAATGTGGGAACGGTGCGTGAAAGGTGAACTTCAGGTAAACTAGTCAAGTGTTGAGAAAAAAAAGGTCTCAAGGTGGAGTGTGTTGGGCACGTGTTCCCAAAACCAATGGAAGTTGAGTCAGGTGATTCCTTGCCTTTATAAAGTGAATGTACTGACCCTTTGTTAACAAAATTAGCGAAATCGTCCCCACTAAGTGACGCCCAAGAATTGGGAAATGGACCGCAGAATCGGCTACATTATCATCGCCTTGGTAGCAGCTCTCCTCTTCTTTGTGGCGATCGGCTATCATGGTTGGGCGTGTGGAGACAGCATTCTCAGCTCCAATTGCCTCAAAGTCAAGATTAATGAGGTGACTGGCGCCCTCCTCCTCACCGCGAGTCTACTCATTCTCGTTGCCGGCATCCTCCTCATCGTTCTCTTGGTTACCGAAACCAGTTGGGGTGAGATCGCAGCTGCTGTCATTGCTACTGTGGCGGCAATCTTGGCAATTGCTGGTGTGTTC